GCTGAGGGACAGCGCCCAGGCCCAGAGTTCAGGCCCCACGACCGAAAAAAAAAAATCCAGCCCCATGCTGTTTACAAAAGTCAGATATTACAAAATATTTTCTCTGTCCTGACAGAAATCAATAACAGGAAAATAGCTCGAAAAAAAAAAAAACCACAAGTATTTGCAAAGTAAATAACCCAGAGGTCAAAAAAAATAAAAGAGAAAATAAAAATGGCATAAAACTAAATTAAAAAAAGAAAATTGCAGCTGGGGTAATGGTGAACCTCATCCCTAGCTTTGCCAATTAAAAAAAAAAATCAAATTAAAAAAAAGTCAGGCTCGGCCATGGTCTCCGGCGATTCAGGAATCTGCTAACATGCCAGCAGTTATTTACCACTAAATAACTAAGCTAAGCATGTGGACATTGGGTTATTATGAGTTCTCCATGTTCAGATACTGAGTATTGATTGAACTTGGGCCTTCTGCTGGCTGGGCAGAGCGGCTCAACACTTTAGCCACGCCCCCAGGGAAGCCACGCCCATTAATGCCACGCCCACAAGCCACGCCCCCTAACCTCTCCATTTCTTTCGTTTGGATTCCGCTGTCCAAGTACTTGTTATTGGCAACCTGTTTAGTCATCGTTGTGTGGTTTTCTTTGAATAATTCCAACACCGAAGAATGCTGACATCTTTCAGGAACGTACTGAGTACTTATTTATATATCTTGTTTATGAAGCATCCAAGGCATGTGATCATTGAAAACCTCAGAAAATAGGCAAATTCCTGCTCGCAGCTGAGCCTGACAATTTTGCCAACTGCTCTGTCTGCATTTTTTATGATAATTAAAGCATTTTCTCCCTTAATTTTTGTTGATGAGGATGATTTTACTTAGATTTTATACTGTTAAAAATTACCTTGGATATACTGGGGTTTGAACTCAGGACCTCGTACTCACTGGGCTGGGTTGCTCATCTGGTGCTTTGCTTCTTGAGCCACACCACCAGTCTAGCATTTTGCTAGTTAATTAGAGATAGAGTGTAATAAACTTTCCAGTATGGCTCTGAACAATGATCCTCCAGAGCTCAGCCTCGAGTACCTTTTGTTCTATTCCAGATTAGCCTCAAAGTTACTATCTAGCCCAAACTGGTCTTGAACTTGAGATCTTCAGGCCTCAGTAGGTTTCCTTGAGTGCTGGGATCACAGATGTTCACCACCATGCCTGGCTGAACTGCTGCATGGACTTGCTCTTGAGAGAACACCCGAAGTTATGTGGTTGTAATTTGTAGATCTTTCTGTGTATCCTGCTTTCTACAGGAGTTCCTTCCCGCCAGCCCCCCTTTCTCCCCCCCCCCCCCCCCCGGCTTGAACTCTGGGCCTGGGCACTCTCTCCAAGCTTTTTTGCACAAGGCTAGTGATCTACCACTTGAGCCACACTTCCGGTTTTCTGGTGGTTCATTGGAGATAAGAGTCTCACAGACTTCCCTGCCTAGGCTGGCTTTGAACTTCAAGCCTCAGATCTCAGCCTCCTGAGTAGCTGGGATTACAGCACCTCCCAAATTACAGTTGTGTGTGTGTGTGTATATGTATGTGTGTGTGTCAGTCATGGGGCCTGAACTCTGGGCCTGGGCACTGTCCCTC